CTTCTAATTTCCTTACATAAATTGTTAACTACCTTGAGAAAATTGGCAAGGCTGGCTTATTAATAATAACTTTTCTTAGTCATCAAGTATCTCATTTATTCTGTCATGATTGTCAGTAGGTGTCAGTGAAGACATGGAACTCATTTATTCATTCTTGTAAATATTACTGAATGTCCATGTGCCAGACACTGTGCTTGGTAATTGAGATCCGGTGTTGAAAAGCAACAGAACAGAACAGGGTAAGGTGACAGGGAGTGGCCTCTGAGATAGGTGCTCTCTGAGAAGGTGATATTTGAGATAACACCTAAAGGATAAGAGAAGCATCCCCGTGAAGATCTGGGGACAGAGCTTTCCAGGCAAAGGAGAGCACTGAGCAACCAGCAAACCAGTCTGGTTGAAGGGTTTCTGGGTCAGAAAGGTGGTCTGGTGACTCCAACTGAGAGAGCCACAGGGAGAAGTGTGCAAGGCCAAATCCTGTAGGGTGCGGCAGACTGTGGCAAAGAGGTAGGGGATGTGTCAAAGTGCAATGGAAGTTCTCAGAGGAATTTAAGAGAGGGAGTAGCATTATATGATTTAATTTGTAAAAGATTTCCCTGGCTGCTGTGGGGAAAACTGATCCCAAGATGTGAGTGGAGGCAGGCAGGCCCATTACAACGTTTCTGGGGATAATATGATGGTGGTTTAAACTAGAATGGTCTTGAGTTGGGTGAGAGAGAAAAAATGGCTCAGGTAAACAGCCTTGACTCTTTTCATCATAAACAGCCCTGATTAAATTTGTACACCAAATTCTATAAATCATTTTCCAAATATCTCTCCCACATTAGGGTAAATCTGCATTTGCTACTAGGTGAGAGACAAATGTAGTTGAGTTCAATTGTCTTATTATGGCTGCTCAGAACACCACCTTCTTTGAAAGCACATGGAGAAAGAAATTCCCTATTTCTGTTTTTCTTAGGGCTGTCAATGATTTTGCTTCTATCTAAACCTGCTAAGAAAGGCTATAAGAATTTATCGTATGCTGGTTCTAATATAAAATGAGAAATTGTAGATGATTTCATTTTTTCGTATCTGTCATCGGAGGAGTGTGGATATTAATGCCCGCTCTACAGAGGTTTTCTGATGGTAAATCAAATAATATGTGGTCTAGCAGGTGGCTAAACTTCAATAAAAGGTAATTATGACAGTGATGATGATCAGTGTCCAACAAGACACAGGTGAGTGAAATTGACCTGATTTCATCACACTTGGAATCATCTAGTTCCATCTAAGTCTCTTCACTACTGAAATCCCTTACCGTAGTAGATCAAGCCTGGGTCCAAAAAAGAACATCTGGGGATTTGTGAAACAACACTGGTTCATCCAGAGCACCAGCTCAGACTGACCTGGTAACCTCTTGATTTTATTACATTACTTATTCCTGGTTCTTTTGTGAGGCATAGAAATAATTTTTTAACATTTTTTATTGATTTATAATCATTTTACAATGTTGTGTCAAATTCTTTTTTTTAACATAGAAATAATTTTTGAAATAGTAGCAAGAAAAAAAAAGTTCCTGATAAAATAATGAGCCTTCCTTATTTTGAGCTTTCCTTTGATGCTTGCCACCTCCCTCACATTATGACTCTTTGTCCATCATTGAAAAGGCCAGTGTCCCCAATTTGTGCCCAGCTGGAAAGAGAACACTGAGCTGAAGAGTGCAAAGAAGCAAAGAAATCACACAGATAATATTTTCCCTTATGAGACATTACAGCAGTCATAGCAGAGAGAATGTCTTATGAGCTGACCATCGGTCTCAAATATGGGAAATACTTCCTGGCTTTGGGGCAGTCATTATGCCCATACATTTTAGATGTCACTAACAAAGCAAGTGAAAGGTTTGTCTAACATAAATAACATGTTTAACATAAGGAGAGAAAAGGAAAAGATAAAATGACTACTTCCTAACCCCTCATAAGTACCAAGAGTCCTGCACATTTGATAACAAAGTCACATTCTTGATCTTGATGCGTTATTCTTACCCCTCTCCAGTTCATTTTCTTTTTTCATAAAGTCTTCGCTATTTTTTTGTGAATTTGATACCTTCTTTTATGTCTCTAAGCACTTGACACATACTTCTTTTGCAGCCTCTACCAGATTGTTCTATCGCCTTAAGTTCTCAGAGGTCTGAATCTGCTGTTTGCTTTGTCTGCTACTCTCACTCATGACTTTCAGTTTTGTAATGTGTGGGCACATCTTTGGCAGGGCTTTCTCTACAAGAATCCTAGATGACCTATATGAAGCTGTGGCCCTCCAGAGTATTTTTGGATTTGTTCCTGCCAAATGCCACAGGATATTACTAACTTGAGACAAAGTTGAGTTCTAATTCTTCAGCTTAGGAGCTTCTAAACTTGGTGGGTAGTAAATATAAATCCCCAAACCTGTAAAGCATACTCAAAACTTCTCAGGGGAGAATTTTTTCCTACCCATGGAACAGGAAAGGACAAACATCCTATGACAACAGATGGATTTATTTTCCCTAGGCCATCCTTTTAAGGGTCCCAGTTTTATGTGGAGAATATCAGTTCCAGATTCCTAGATTTCATGGGCCTCATCCCCATATGGATGTTAAAACCTAATCCTCGTGGTCACTGAGACGGGACAGTGCCCCTCAAGGCAGATGCATGTTCCATGGCTATTGCTCTCATTTCAGCCCCTCTTTGTACCTGGAACTTGGGGCGTTTACTTGCAAACTTAGCCATTTATTTAAAAGAATGTATGTTCTGTTTTATCTGGAACATCTTAACATTTTTGGTGGGAGGGTTTTCGGGTTATCTGTTCCACCATATAGCTGGAAATAAGTAGAACTATCAATGTATTCTTCATGCTGCAGCCAGGGAGAACTTTTCAACATAGAAATATGATTTTTGTTACCAGTCTTGCTTAAAACTGGTATGGCTTCCCAATGATTTTAGAATGGAAACTAACATTCATAAACTACAAGGCCCTGAATGGGCCTTACCTACTTCCTCATCCTCATATTGTACCATATCCCCACTCATTCCCTGTGTTCTGCTTACACCAGGGTTCTTTTCATTCCTATAATATACCTACTCCTTCTTACCATAGCAAGTTTACACATTCTATTCCCTCTTCCTGGAACATCCTCATGTTCCTCCAGGTCACTCACCCCTCAGATCTCAACATAAATGTGCAATTGCTGTTGTCTAGTAAGTGTCTAGTTGTCTGATACATGCATACATTGGCTCAGATACCCTCTCCTTTATTATAATGATCACAGTTGTCCTTTTATATGTATTTTTGTAATTATTTATTTAATATCTCTCTCACCCACTGGGCTGCAAGTTCTGTGAAGGCAGGTACTATGTCTGTTCTTGTTCACTATTTTTATTAGTAACACTAGCTGCTACCTTCACACAAATGTAGAAGAAACCCTAAAATCTCAATAACTTAACACTATGACATAGTCTTCTCCACCTGGACTCCAGAGACCCAGATTGTACCATCATCTTCAACATGTTACCATCAAGGTCACAGTGGAAGGAAAAGAGAACAAAGGAGCATGTGGGAGGCTTTTATGAGCCAGGCCATGCATCACCTCCCCCCACATTCCATTGGACAGAACTCAGTCACAAGCCCTGTTACCAAAAAGCTGGGATTTACAGATTATCTATATATCTGGGAAGAAGAGGAGAAAATGGTTATCAACAAACACTCAGGTCTTTGCCACACCATTGTATTTTCAGCTAAGAGTAGTTTCTGGCAAAAGAAAGTTGTCAATAAACACAGACTGAAAGTTCTCAATAAACTACAAATGGATGAATGAATGGATGGAGAATGTACAGATGATGGAGGGTGGAAGATGGATGAATGGTTTTGTTGTCAATGGATAGCTCATTGATTCAGCTGGTCTCCAAGTTCTTTGCATATGGAGACCTTAACCGTATTGCTCATCATGATAGGGAAGTTTAGGGCACCTATTAGAAGCTCACATAAGAATAAGTGAGCACCACTACTTGGAAGATTTTGTGGACGAGATGGGCTCCTAGTGGATCTTTAAAGAAAAATATGGGGACAAAGTTGAAAAGCAATTTAAGAAGTGAATTCGTGAAGGCATGGAATGGGTAGGGGGAAAAGTAGAAGAAAAGTTAGTGTGAATATGGTTGAGAGTAATAAAGGAAGAAATCAATGGAGTATGGAGAACCTTACAGGGGTAATGCCTCACCAGGCTAGTGTCATCTGAACACCGTGTTTGCCTAGTCCCGAGTCCAGCATTTTCTCTTTCGATGTATTATAGCCTTTTATCTAGAAATAAGAGTGCCTCTTTAGTGAATAGCACTTTTTCCCCTCCCCACTTAGTGTTT